AAAAGAAACAAACGCATGCACACATTCCCTGGCCTCACTAAACTCCCCCCCACCTGCAGCTGAGAGGTCCCCATACGGGCCCTCCCCTCTGGGACGACCTGCCTCTGAAACCAGAGCCTTCCTGTCTCCTCCCACCTTAATGGACGGACCACCTGCTCGACTCTCTCCTAGAGGTAGTGCGCGCACACACACACACACACACACACACACAACACACACACACACACCACACACACCACACACACACACACACACACACACACACGACACCACACACACACACACACACACACACACACCACAACACACACACACACACACGCACACACCACACACAACACACACACACACACACACACACACACACACACACACACACACACACACACACACACACACACACACACACACACACAGAGAGAGAGTTATCAAGAGTACACCCACCCCGCTGTTATTTCTTATATGTGATTTACTTTATCACTCAGACTTACTTAGCTGATTAGAATTTGAAAAACATCTTCACATATGGAACATTTCTTAATTCAGTCACATAGTAATCACTGGCATCATGTTGGAGAGGAGCAGCTGGCTGCAGCATGATCAACTGTAGAAGCTTAAACATGAGTAGCATGGTGTGGAAACTCAATGAAAACTGTGATGCGACGATGTCGTACATCTCATCTCCTGCTTAATTTTCTGATATTTTGTCTGTTGCCGATTGGTTCTTCCCTTTCTGTCTCCCTCTTTCTCTCACGCTTATCCTCCATTACCTCTCCTTTCCTCCTCGTCCTCTATTTCCTCCGGTCCTCTCCTCCACAGTGCCTCGCGGTCCAATGGAGCCCCCCGGGGGCCAAGGAGAGATGGAGCGGATCGGAGGTCCTCATTCAGACAGCGGCTCCATCTCTCCAACATGGGAGAGAGATCGCAGGGGCCCCCCACCAGGACCCCCTGGGCCACTAGGACCCCCAGGTGTGTGTGAGAAAGACAGTCGCAGTCGAATATCAAACTATATATTTTCTTTACCACTGTTTCTTGTCCTTGAGGGAAAATGCCATAAAGTCAAGGAATGATAGGAAGAAAATCATGAGGGAAAGAAAACCAAGGCGCTAAAAGAATCTCACTACATTGGGACGGATGTTCTTCTGTTCTTAAAAAATACAACTTTTAGAAAAGCAACAATTGAGTGTGTGTAAGGTCCAGTAGGTCAGGATTTAGATCAGAAATGGCCTCAGGTTTCCCCAAAACTACCCAGATAAGTGCTCGAGTGTAAACTAGTGCTGTCAAAGCAAATACTCTGGAAAAAGTCATTACGAGATGATTTCTAAATGTGTAAGAACTCAGCCTGACTGTGGCACCGTGTGTTCAGGCTCAGTCTTTGCTGTTCTAAAGGTGTTGGTCTGCACAGGTGTGGCTCATCACATGAATGACTCTGAAGCAGACCTCATTAAGGTTATTAGAGGCAGAGCTGTGCATGGCAAGTCAACAGCTGCGTAGTGTGCACGTGAATGTCTAAAGCTTGATGGTGCATGTGTATTTTCTTACATGCATTTTGACACTGGGGACTGCAGTTGTCTGTGAAGCTCTACTTTACAAAAATGTTGTGTCATTTATCACGTGAACCTGAGGGAACTCCACCTACTGAATTATCAACATGACACTATCACTGTTTGCGACCTAGCATACGATCGCCGCTAGCTAGCAAACAGTGGCTATCGTTACTAGCTGGCTGTCTTGCTAGCAATGTTATTCTTATCATTTTTTATTTTTGAATTAACGTTATTAGTGCCTTTTTCTGTTATTCAAAGTTACTGTTGGAAGAAGTACTCGGATCCTTTACCTAAGTAAAAGTACTCATACTATGGTCCTAAAATACTCCACTGCAATTCAAGTCCTGATTTCAATATCTTACATTCAAAGTACAAAAGTCTTGGCATCAAAATATAATACTTCATTTACAAGATGTAATACGGGTCATTTTGCAGTTTTCAGAATTCTATAAATGTACTCAAGAAATATCCGCTATATGTACTCCAAGTATCAACAGTAAAAGTACTTTTCACAGTATTTTATTTTTATGCCTATAATTTTATCATCCATTATAAGAGCATTTTCGTATTGTATAATAAATAAATGTAGTGGAATACAAAGTGAAATATTTACCTCTGGAATGTAGCGGAGTAAAGTACCATTAATGGAAATACCCAAGTAAAGTACAAATATGTACATCAAAAAGTACTATACTTGAGTATATTCACTTAGTTACTTTCCACCTCTGCTCATAGTGCAGTCCACGTGGCAGATGGAGTCCAGAAGAATACAGATTGAGACACAGCTTTAATGTCTCAGTGTGTGTGTGTGTGTGTGTGTGTGTGTGTGTGTGTGTGTCCCCTCCCCCCTTTTGTCTCACAGGGTACATGTTCCCTGAGCCAGGCGGTCCCATGTACAGGAGACCTCCCCCAGGAGCCCTCGGCCCACTGCCCCCTCCTGGAGCTTTCCCCCACGGCCCTCTGCATCCTAGGGGTCTCCCCCCTGGACCCTCTCACCCAGGGCTAGACATGATGGGTGAGTCACCGCCATCTGTATATATATTCTATTGTATATTGTATTTCACTGTAAATCGGTGAATCAAGGACATGTGTGTGAACTCTTTGTGAACTAAACCAAAAGCACCCATGACCCGTGTCCTTGATCATGGCTCATTTCCTCTGTTCTCTATGTCAATGCAGACGGCTCCTACAGAGAGAACCACCTGGGCCCTGGGGAGCAGGAGCACCGAGAGGTAAGAGCTGGCAGGAATCCTTCAAAGCTGGTGACATTTAAAGGGAAAAATCACGGCTTAGAAAGTCAAACATTTTTAAATAAAGCCAAATGAACTTGAATGTGCAAAAGCAGAAATTTAAGTGGTTTTGATATTATTAAAGATCTGCAGCACATCCATTTGGACCCAAGCAGAGCCTCCTGGAAATCAATAACCATTCACACTATGACCGTGACTTGGTTCCTACGGGTCCTTTAAATACTTGAACATTTGCAGGGAAATAACCAGGGCGTTGAAAGTGTTTAAAAAAGACATAAATAGGCAGAGGTCATTGAAAACTTGAGTTCACTGGCTGCGTTCTGGCTACAGCCGACGTCACATCGACTTCTTCCTCCGTTAAGGCTCGCCCTCTACTCCGTGGTAGTGGCTCGCGGGGAGACCCGCAACATAAAAGAAAACACACAAAACTTCCAGCACTTAACAGCGATAATTTATTTAAATGTACAACCGTTACTCACACAGGCCAACCGGCAAACGAACGAGGTCTGGAGGACTGGCCAAAAGAAACAAAAAGAAGG